AGGAGACTTCTTAAACCATAAGTGTACATTTTTGTGATATAAAACAATGTAGCATATTTATGAAATTTATGGAACATCTTTGTATCATCCTGAAAATCAATATACAAAAAAGAATTACATTCATAAGTGAGTTTCCAAGCAACCCTGCTGGATACAGGGTCAGTATTCAAAAATCAGTTGTATTTCTTGATACCGGTAGCAAACACATACTTAGGAATGCTCATACATTCCTGGTGGGAGTGTAGGTTGTGCAGTCATCTTAGAAAACTGGCAGTATTTACTAAAGCTGAGCATACTTTTACCCTGTGGTTAAGCAGTTACTCTTCTCGGTATATATTTAACAAGGGCGTGTGCATGTGTGCACCAAAAATCACGTGCAAGAATGTTTGTGGCTGCGTTATTTGAAAGAGCTAATAACTAGAAGCAACCCAAATGTCTATCAACAGTAAAATGAGTCAATAAATTGTGGTATATTCATATAGTGGATACAATATGGCAATCAATAAACTACGACTGTACATACACAACATGTGGATGGGTGAATCTCGCAAACGTCAAGGAATCCAATCACAAAAGAATACATGCTGTGTGATTCTACTTGTATAAGGTCCAGAAGCAGGCAAAATTCTGTGATGCTAGAATCAGGATACTGGTTACCTTTGGGGAGGTAAAAGAGGATACTAGGGGGGCTTTAGAGGTGCTAATCTTCTATTTCTTGATGGAGCTGGACACTAGTGATTTGTGTACTTTTCTGTATTTGTTATACTTAAATTATAAGAGGCTTAAAAATATGTGGAAGTTTATGTATTGGATTTTTATATAGCATTACTTAAGCTTAGAAATAGTAGCACACGGTTATTTTAAATGAGACTGAAGCAATTATCTTAGAATGTATAGCTGCCTCAAAAAACAAGACACCCTCACCCAGTCTCCCACCCTTTTTCTGGTTCAATATCTTTCTTCACTCTTACTTGTCATTTACTTATAGAATTGTATTCCTAGTAAACAAAATTAATACAGTATGCAGTATAGCTTTTCTGTATTTAAATCTATAGTTGTTTCTCTCATAGAACTTTTAAGATACCAAAAAGAATTAAGGTTAGAACCATGTGTATAATATGATCCCAATTTCTCTGTCTATCTACTTGTCTGTCTGTCTGTCTATCATCATCTCTATACGTATAGGAAAAACTTGAAGGATATAAGCTATAAGCAAACTTTTTTCTGATAAGGGGATAGACTTTCATTTCTACTTTTATACTTTTACTATTTGAATTTTTTACATGGGTCACTTTTTTAGTTTAAAAAAGATACATTTTTAAAGAATTAAGTTAAAAGATAGATCTTAGTTATTAAAATGTTTTATTTCCTAGAACTAGAACAAGTCTCAACCATTCTTTCCTTTTATGCTTACTTATTAAAAATGTATAAAACCAATCAGTTGAATACTGTCAAGAAAAACTCCAATAATTTTGATCCTTTAAATTCCTATTTAATATAATCACTTACCTAAGACATAAAACTTTGATTTATGTGGGGTTTTTTCCTCTTTTTCCAAATTTTCTGTAGTAAGCAATATTACTTTTGTAATAAAGATATGTAAGGGAGGCAAATCTTTATTTATTATTTCAGTCTTTGCTTATGAGGTTAATATATTGTGCTTTTAAAGGATTTTCTCCACAATATTTATTGTTCCAACTGGGAAGGGAAAAGCCAGAGTAGAAGCTATCTAAAGTTATTTTGTGAGATGGCTGTTTTTCTAATGGTATTATTCAGAATTGCTAAAGATATACACAATAGATTTTGAGGAAAATGCAAACTGGTGAAATACAGTTCTTTTAGTGGTACATTTTTCTTCCCAGAGTCAAAGGCCTTTGACTCATGAGTGTGTTCCCAAGGGTGTATTAACCTCCCTCCTTTTCCTCTCCAAATTTCCTAATTGCATTTTTAGTTTGTGTAATTGTATTCGTCCTTTGTGTACATAAATATACAAACTATTTTAAAATAAACTTTCTTTGGTAGCTGATTAGTTTTATGCATTTGAATTGGATGGTGATAAGAGGTCACAGGTCTTGTAAATATCCCTGGAAATTAGGAAATTACTTAAGAGATCATGCCCTTTTGACTATTCATTCTCAACTTAGAAATAGCTTAGCTTTCACCCTTCTGCAAACTGTTTTGAAGAATCTAGCTTAAGTGAATAAAATCTGAAAAACTGAGGTTTATTTTTCTTTAAAAATATAAACCGAGTGTTAGTATTTTTCAGACAATTAAGAGCTAACGTCTGAGGGCTTTGGTTATAGTTCTTCTGCTGCTGATTAGGTATTCCTCAGTGGTGATTAGTGAGTGTACAAATGCAATCATTTGGTAGGGCTTAATCACTCATGAGAGAGAAGTTAGTACCCAGAAAGAGAAATTGAAGCTTGTATAACTTCCATTAGCCTTATTTTTTTCAAAGTGAAAAAAATTTTTTTTGACTAAATTAGAATATTAAGCCATATAAGATAAACTGTAGTTTAAAACAAATAGAGAACCTGGGGAAATACACTGATATGAATATATTGCTACACTCTGTAGTGTATTGTCTGTAGTACAGGTAGCTTATGAATAATTGGCCCTTCCATACGAGGACAGATTTCCCTCAGAGAGAGAGAGTAAGTAGTGCTGCCTAAACAAGTGTATTTCCTCCCTTCTTTGTACTGGGTGGCTGAGCCCCTACAATTATAGCACAGGCAAGAGGGAGGAAGTATCTCTTTTCTCAGGTTTACTGCGTTCTGACTCATAGTTGAGAAGGAGAGAGATATATAGCTATGCCTTTTTTTCTTTACAGGTCATCTGAGGCAAGGGGAGAGTGGAGTGCATATATTTGGGCAATGCTGTATTCCTTTCTGGTGAGATGCATTACAGGGCCTGTGTTCTTGAGTGAGGCCTGGGGAGTGGGTTGAGCAACTTAGAATGATAAGCGAGGGATGTCTGTGTGGGGAGGCCAGCTGCCTGCTCAGGTCAAGCATTGTAGGGCGGCATGACCCTGTTAGGTTCAGGGCTTGTTTTTCACATGTGCAGTTCAAAAGCTCAAGTTTGTAGGCTTCCCCAGAGGACCAGCTTCTTCTTGGGGATTATTTTATACTAATCGCATTCACAATTGCTAATATATAAATCAAAATGCAATACCTACTCCAGCCTTTCAGCCCAGATTTCTGGGTCTTCACTTCTAGGATGACCAACTGTCCTAGTTTGCCCAGCACTGTCCTGGGGTTAGCACTGAAAATCCTGCATCCAGAAAAACTCCTCAGTCTTAGGGAAACCCATTAGTCCCCGGGGATGGTTGACCACCCTCTTTTACTTCCCTGAGCCCCTTAGCATCTGCAGCACGAGAAGAGGGGAAATTATTCTCATTGCTGCTGTGTGCAGTCTCTTCCCTGTAGTGCAGATGATAAACAGCCCTCAGCCCTTGCATAGCGGGACAACCCAGGATGCAACTTCAGGGAGGAAGAATGTTGCTACATCTCAAATGTGCCCAGATATCGATTGCTGCATAACAAATGACTGAAAAATTTAAAGGCTTAAAACAACATTACTATATTATGTCTCCTGGTTTCTGTGGTTCAGGGATTTGAGAAAGGCTCAGCTGGCATTTCTGACTCCCTCACTACAATAGTGGCTACAACCGGAACAGCTGGGGACTGGTCAGGCACCTCCGTCTTCATGTCATCTCAGGGCCTCTCCAGGTCATCTCTCTGTATGGGCTACTTTAAGCTCTCATGACGTGGTTGCCTCCAGGCAGTTTGATGCTTACCTGGCAGTTCAGGGTTCCAGAGCAAGTGTTTCAGCCAACAAGTAAGAAGCTGCCTCAAATGTCACATTGGATATTATTGTGTAGCATCATTGACACCATAGTCACAAAATTCAAGGGGCAGTGCACAGACCCCACTTCTTCATGGTTGGAATGTCAGTCACAGCGTGTTGGGATGGAGAGATTATTGCAACTATCTTGGAAAATACAATCCACCACAATTACCTTAGCCACAAAATGCAGTTTTTCATTAATAAAAGTAGTGAAGTTGTTAAAATTCAATTTTTTCCTCATGAATTTTCATAATGCAATTTTCCTTTTGAATGAAAACAGAAAAGTCAGCCTGTGAATGTTTCTTGAATTGTTCTGAAAACCCATGCTCACGATCGTTCTACTGGAATGAGTGTATATATATATGTATATATTCCCTCCCCCTGCAGAAAAGCCAACTTACCAAGAGAGGTATATCAAAAGTTCATTTGCTTCCATAGTAAGAGTTTTACGGGGTGTATGTATGTATCTGTGTGTGTGTGTGTGTGTGTGTGTGTGTGGTGTGTGAGTTTCCATGCACATATGCACCTGGGGAGATGGAAAGGAAAGATTAATTGGGAGAAGAGAAGGACAGCAGTGGCACAGGATGACTTAGGTTGAAGGGAGGTGTTCAGAGCAGGAAAGAACTCTGAAGACATCGACGACTGGAAAGGGAGCTAAGGGACAAGGGCAGTGGCAGTCATTTAGAAGTGAAGGGCAGGCATACCTATAGCATCACTTTAGTATGACCATTCGTTTAAAATGTGGATACTTACGTTCCGGTGCAGCTCTTTCAGACTCTCGCACATCGTGACGCTTAAGACCCATGACTTACTCTTTCTGACAGCCTCCAGCTTCTCACTTGAGAGTAATGGAAATTGGGATTTTAAAAAAAATCTAATGCAATTATTTGGGGAATTTACTGACAGCGCTCTTTTAGCAAAATTTCAGGAAGGCATGCTGCAATGTTAATTTTATTAAATTGATGTTTTTTGGCTTGATATGTGGTTAATATTGCAACTTTTATGATTCTTACGAGTTCTATTGTTTTGTCCTAAACTCATTATATTATTTTATAGAGGAAAATTTCAAAAATTAAAAAAAATAGGATAGCAGAAAGATTATAATTCTAAGCTACCACTTGTTGAAAAAGATACTTTATGTGTTTGGATTGTAGGAATACTGTAATACGATCCAGCTAGATTCTGGGATAGATTACCGGAAAAGGGAACTTCCTGCTGCAGGAAAACTCTACTACCTGTAAGTATTTTTAAATTTAAATTTAAATTTTCCAGGTTTAATATCTAATGATTAATTAGAAAAAGATGAGAAAAATAAGCAGAGTAATTATTACAACACGAAAGGCTAGTTCTGAAGCCTGTGATTTTTAATATGCAGAATGTTATACTGTTCACTTCTTTAAACTGTGTTTTTTGCCATCCACATTTGCATGATTTATAATATGTGATTGGAGGAAACTCTAATTAGTTTTTTGGGGAGGAGTGATGACAGATGGTTAGAAAGTAACAAGTATCCTCTTATAAGAGACTCTAGTATGAAGAGAATATCTTTATTGTGCTAAAGTAATTAATTATTTGTGGACATCTTCTGACAAATGTGTCATTTCTGTTCCCCCCAAATTGTTATTTTATTTTGTCAGGCAATCTGTTTGTAGTTCTCATTGTTGATTGACTTCCATACGTAACTATGTAAAATATGTGTACACAAGTGCAACTGGATATATTTTGTCTTTTGAAAGCCAAGACTCGCCTGAGTAGGAGCAATTTATAATGATAGATGTATTCAGCATGTGCAGTTAATGCTGAAAAACAAATATAGTTTGTTGTAAAATGTCATTTGTGAGACCCTGAAAAGGAAGAAGTGCTTTACAAACGCAAACTGCTGTTTAGTGTGTGTGCAGCCAGTGTTTGGTACCTCGTGGGTTCTCAGTGAGTAGATCTGTCCAAGGGCTCATTGTGATTTAACTCAAAGGCATGTTTCTGCTAATTTAAATTTTGATGACAACGTGCATATGAGAGTTTCAGAAAAGTTCTTGTCTCTGCCACCTTGTAAGCAGAAGTACTTTACTGTTTTTGAAGCAGAAATTAGCTAGAAAAATCACATAATTAAAATTGCATACTTTACAGCGTACCAAGGGGACTATTTCAGTTTATTATTCAGATTCTGATGATTATTATAGGAGGTTCTTCATCTGCCCTTAAGTACTTTGTCTTTAAAGTACTTTATAATTTTAAAAAGTTCTTATAGCACTTTTTTCTGCTTTAACTTGGAATTTTTTTCCTCCAGTTTCTTTTGTGTTTGTGTTTTCTGGTTTTTTAATTTTTCTGATATTCTCAATCTTTCTCTGACTCCTTGCTACCTATTTCTTGATGTTCTAGATGTGTGATATTTATAAATTGACTTATTATTCTCTTTAATTTTTTTCAAAAGAGATAATCTTTGTTCCCTGTTTTCCCCCAAAATGTGTCCCTATGTGGAAGAACTAAAACATTTTCCTAATGGGAAGTTCCTTAAATAAAGATGGTAGTCTGGGTCTAAATCATGAAATTTGTTTCATAGTGCTGGAGAGTTCTCAGTGGAATTTACAGGAGGTGGAAAGTCTGTGTTTGCTTGGAGCGTAGCCATTTTCTCTCTGATCTACCTTGTGTTGCCTCTTCCTCTTCCTGATAAAAATAATACAATTCTAACGCAATTAAATTCAGGTTGACACTTAAAATGTGCACCGGAGGAAAACTAATCTAACAATGTCTCAGAGTCCAGGAAACTAGAATCTACAAAAGATAGATACATGAAACTCTGGAACAGTTTTCTTAAAAATATATAAATTCATTTAATCCTCAGGGAAGGCAGATTTTATCATGAATTTGACATCAAAAGGGCTTCACCCTAGTCTGGTAACCAAGAATAGAGAGCCTAGAGTCACATCGCACTTAGAGAGTAAGGCAGATATGTGTCCCTGAGGAGAAGTGGGAGAATATTAGATACCAAGATAGCGTGCTAGGGATATAATTTATATTGTTTCACATGAGCCCTTAGGTAGAACTTCTTTCCTGACAAAGTAAAAGAAAATTTCCTGGGGTCATGTTCACATTTCTGATTTAATTAGGTTTCTTTTTGTGTTGTTCTTATAGGAAAACTTACTAATTTCCCCCCATAACAGATTTTAATGTGCCGTGCTGTATATTGCCCTATTAAAGCACGGTTTTCTCTGCCTAAACCTCTGGAATTGGTTCCTGAATATGCAAGTCCAGACTACACCCTTGTCACTCTCACTCGCACCCCAACTAAGTGAAAGTAAAAACAAAATTCTAGCTTTCCTCCAGGAGAACACCAGGCACTATCTCAGAATTTCATACAAGCAGAATCCCGTATATGATCTTTCATTAAATATAAATATTCACTAATTCAGTATTTTATTAGTCTAACTTTCCAAAAGCCAATTAAAAACGTCCCAAAACACAATCCAGATAATATCAACAGTTACCAGAGATTTTAAAAACTACCCAAAAAGTTGACATGGAACACTTTCTATGGTTCATAATATTGTCTGGGTTACAGAAGAACTAACTCATACAAGGCATTGTATGTTTGTATGTCATCTACTTCAGTTGTAGTTTTATATTACGTTAAATTTAGAAATCGTAGAGTACCTTTATAAATAAGTTACAGATGTTTTTGACCCATCCCAAGAAGTTTTTAATCTCGTATAAAACAAACTCAGAGAATTTAAATGTAGCAAGTTACAAGCGACAGAGAGCTTGAGTGCGAACATCCAAACTTTTGCATAGATTAAAACACCCCATGGTGTCCAATTTTTCATTCTGTGGTCACTGCACCATCATCTCAGAGATGAGCACGAAGTCATTTTCTTCCTGGCTGCTTGGTGGATTGGGCTCAATAAGATGCCCATGTGTGGAATTTGGTTTGCCAAAATCCAAACAGGTTGACCAAGCATTGGGCTTGGACCAGTAATTTATTTTGAACTGCCTGGTGTTTGCCTAGGATGGCGCTATCCCATGCCTTCCAGAGGATTTAACTGCTTCAGATTAGCTCTCTGCTTGGGGGCTGGTGACACTAGGGTTATCATTTTATATATGCGATGAGCATCTCTTTTCAGACAGGAAACATCACTGCTGAGGGGTCCATGAGATGCTGGCCCAGGCCATTTTGCTGTCACTTCTGTGAAGGGTTATGTTTTCCTGGGGAGAGGAGGTCACCTTGGACTCACGCTCGCTCTCTGTCTCTTTTCCTTTTTCATTCAAGAGCTGAGTAGTACAGGTTTTTTTTCTACTAAGTCTGTTGAAGGAACTGGGGGTTGGGGGTGGAGAGAGGGTTCCTATTCAAACACCATATCTCCATCATACTCACATACAAACACCCCACCTCCAGCACAGAAGCCAGGGCCTCAATGGAAGATTATTTTGGCTGTCCTGGGTCCTTTGAATTACCATATGAATTTTAGGATCAGCTTATCAATTTCTACAAAGAAGCCAGCTGGAATTTTGATAGAGATTGTGTTGACTCTATAAATCACATTGGGGAATACAATATTAATTCTTCTGATTCATGTAATGTTTTATTAGTTTCCTAGGGCTACCATACAAAGTACCACAAACCGAATGTTTTAGAACAGCAGAAATGTATTCTCTTGTTCTTGAGGCTAGAAGTCCGAAATCAAGGTGTTGGCAGTTTGGTTCTTTCTGGGCACTATGAAGGAGAATCTGCTTCATGCCTCTCTTCTAGCTTCTGGTGGAGTTCCTTGGCTTGCAGGTGCATCACTCCAATCTTTCCCTTTATCTTCACATGACATTCTCCCTATGTGTCTCTGTTTCTAAATTTCCTCTTCCTATAAAGACACCAGTCATTGCATTAGGGACCACCCTAATCCAATATGACCTCATCTTAACTTGATTACGTCTGCAAAGACCCTATTTCAAAATAAGGTCACACTCACAGGTACTGGAGGTTAGTACTTTAATACCTATTCAACCCATAACAGATGTCTTTTCATTTATTTTGCTCTTTAATTCCTTTCAACAATGTTTTATAGTTTTCAGTGTGAAAATTTTGCAGTTCTTTTGTTAAATTTATTCATAAATATTTTATTCTTTTGGAAGCTAGTGTGAGTGGAATTGTTTTCCTAATTCCACTTTTGGTTTCTTCATTGCTACTGTATAGAAATACAACTGATTTTTGCATATTGATATTGTCACCTGAAACCTTGCTGAACTCATTTATTTGTTCTAATAATTTCTTAGTTGATTCCTTAGGATTTTCTAAATACAAGATCATGTCATCTGCAAATAGAGATAATTTACTTCTTCCTTTTCAATCTGGGTGCCTTTTGTTTACTTGCCTAATTTCCTTGCCTAGAACCTCCAGTGCAATGTTGAATGCAAGTGGTATATTGTATCATAGAGAGTGGACATCCTGTTCCTGAGCCTAGGAAGAAGGACTTCAGTCTTTCACGTTAATTATGATGTTAGCTCTGGGTTTTTCATAGATGCCTTTTATTAGGTCGAGTATATTCCCTTCTATTCCTAGTTTTTGAGTGTTTTTATCATGAAGGGATGTTGGATTTTGTCAATGCATTGTCTGTTGAGACGATCTTGTGGGTTTTGTCCGTTATTCTGTTGATATGGTGTATTTCATTAATTGATTTTTGGATTTTAAATCAATCTTGCATTTCTAGGATAAATCTCACTTGGTCGTGGTGTATAATCCTTTTTATTTGTTGCTGGATTTAGTTTCTTAGTATTTCGTTGAGGATTTTTGTGTTTATATTCATAAGAGATATTGGTCAGCGGTTTTCTTTTCTGGTGATGTCTTTTTCTGGTTTGCTGTCAAGATAATACTGGCCTCATAGGATGAGTTGGGAGGAGTTTCCTCCTTTTCTATTTAGATTTTCTCTTTCCTCTTGAGTCAGTTTCGGTAGTTTGTATTTTTCTAGGAATTTGCCCATTTCATCCAGATTATCTAGTTTGTTGTTATACAGTTGTTAATAGTATTCTCTTATAATCTTTTTTATTCCTATAAGGTTGGTAGTAATGTTCCCTTTTTCATTTCTGATTTTAGTAATTTTGGCCTTCTCTCTTTTTCTTGGTCCATTTAGGTAAAGGTTTTTCACTTTTATTCATCCTTTCAAAGAACCAACTTTTGGTTTTGTTGATTTGCTATATTATTTTTCTCTTCTTTATCTCATTAATTTCCACTCTAATCCTTATTATTTCCTTCCTTTC